AGTGAAGCCAACTGGACCTGAAGTTTTCTTTGTGAAAAAGTTTTAAAATACAAACTTAATTTCTTTAATAAATAAAGAGCTATTCAGTACTCTGTATTGTACTCGAGAAGAACCTCTACAGGTCTCACATTCCCTAGGGTTCTTTCTTTGTGCAGTCTTCTATACTTTGTCCTGCCAATTCTAGTTCACTTAATCTCCACTACTTCTCAGCTCCACCTCTTAATAAGAGTCCAATGATCTCCACTTGCATTTCCTCCCCCCGTATCATGGCCGTGGAAAGTCTCTTAAGTCATTAAGGTGGGGCAGTCATAGGGCTTACCTCATTTGTTTCATGTCTCTGATTATCATTGTCTGATGTCTAGTGTACTGTAAGACATTGATGATTTATTTTCTTGCTTTTTCATGTGTCAGGCAGAAAAGTGGTCCATGGTATTTCTTCTTGAGTATAAGCAGAAGTCCTATTCAAGTTATCCTACTTTTTGATGTCTTAAACTCAAGTATGTTACTCCTACTATAACTGTTCTTTGACCTCCTCAGACCTCTATCCTTTGAGCCCTTCATTTTCTTTACTTCCTTGACTGCTTCCTAGTTTGTTTTTACTGGTGTCTTTTACAGGCTGTAACCATTACCCATTAGTCCTTCTGCTCTTGTCAGTAATCTTAATGTGATTATGCCCCTGCTTCTCTATAGCTGATGCCCAGTAACACCTCATGCCATGATTGGTTTATTTTCCTTTACAATTCTCATACCCAATGCTGTACCTATAGATACCTATAGATAGCTCAACCCTCTGGATAAGTGCCTTCACAAATTCAAGGTTAACAGAGCTAGTAGGTGACTGAGCTGAGATTTGAACCCAGGCAGTCTAGTTTCAGTGTCTCTTTTCTTAACTACTACACAAAAAGCATACTTGCAAGAAAGGAAAACTGTAGACTTGTTTCACTTATGCATGTTGGAACTAAAATCCAAAATAAAATATTAGCAAATTGAAACTCAGTGAATGTGTATATGTGTGTGTATATATATACATACATGCACCAGCATCTTCATATATTCAGGAAATGCAAAGTAAATAAGTGAGATAAGTACTTGTAGAATGAAGGAAATAACAGAATTTAAGTTACAGTAAAATTTTCTTCAGATTATAGTCAATCTATGAAGATTGAAAGTGTTTCCCTCATTATTAATACATAATTTACTTCTTACTCTATTTTAATTACTGAGGACGCAGATCTAGTTTTTTTCTTAATTGAAAACTCAGGGAAAAAAAGAGGTTTGTATTGTGATTAATAGTTTTTCTTTTTTTAAAATTTAGCTTTTATTTTAAGTTCACGGGTGCATGTGCAGGGTTGGTATATAGGTAAACTTTTGTCATGGGTGTTTGTTGTACAGATTATTTTGTCACCCAGGTATTAAGCCTAATACCCATTAGTTACTTGTCCTGATCCTCTCCCTTCTCCCACCCTTCACCCTCCAATAGGCCACAGTGTGTGTTGGTCCCCTCCATGTGTTCTCATCATTTAGTTCCCACTTATAATTGAGAACATGCCGTATTTGGTTTTCTGTTCCTGTATTAGTTTGCTAAGGATAATGGCCTCCAGCTCCATCCATATTCCTGCAAAGGACATGATCTCGTTGTTCTTTATGGCTGCATAGTATTCCATGGTATACATGTACCACATTTTCTTTAACCAGTCCACCATTGATGGGCATTAAGGTTGGTTTCATGTCTTTACTCTTGTGAATAGTGTTGCAATGGACATACATGCTCATGTGTCTTTGTGGTGGAATGACTTATATTCCTTTGGATGTATACTCAGTAATGGGATTAAAGGGTTGAATGGTATTTCTGTTTTTAGGTGTTTGAGGAATTACCACACTGTCTTCCACAATGGTTGAACTAATTTCTGCTCCCACCAAAATGTATAAATGTTCCTTTTCCTCCACAACTTCACCAGCATCTGTTATTTTTTGACTTTTTAATAATAACCATTCTAACTGGTGTGAGATAGTATCTCACTGTGGTTTTGATTTACATTTCTCTAGTGATCAGTGATGTTGAGCTTTTTTTCGTATGCTTGCTGACCATATATATGTCTTCTTTTAAAAGGTGTCTGTTCATGAGCTTTGCCCACTTTTTAATGGTATTTTTTCTTGTAAATTTAAGTTCCTTATAGATGCTGAATATTAGACCTTTGTCAGATGCACAGTTTGCAGAAATTTTCTCCCACTCTGCAGCTTGTTCACTCTGTAGATAGTTTCCTTTGCTGTGCCAAAGCTCCTAATTTTAATTGGTTTCCATTTGTCAGTGTTTGCTTTTGTTGCAATTGCTTTTGGCATTTTTGCCATGAAATCTTTGCCTACTCCTATGTCCAGATGGTGTTGCCTAGGTTGTCTTCTGGAGTTTTTATAGTTTGGGGTTTTACATTTAAGTCTTTAATACATCTTGAGTTATTATTTATATATTGTGTAAGCAAGGAGTCCAGTTTCAGTCTTTTTTCATATGGCTTGCCAGTTATCCAAGCACCATTTAAAGTAGGGAATTCTTTCCCAATTGCTTGTTTTTGTCAGGTTTGTTGAAGATCAGATAGTTGTAGGTATGTGGCTGTAATTCTGTGTTCACTATTTTGTTCCATTGGCCTATGTGTCTGTTTTTTGCACCAGTACCATGCTGTTTTGGTTACTGTGGCCCTGTAGTGTAGTTCGAAGTCAGGAAACATGATACCTCCAGGTTTGTTCTTTTTGCTTAGAATTGCTTTGGCTATTCAGTCTCTTTTTTGGTTTCATATGAATTTTAAAGTTTTTTCCAGAGAAACACTCCATAGTTTTCTGTGTAGGAGTCTTAAACATCTTCTATTGTATTTATTCCTAGGCATTGATTTTTTTTATGGTACTATAAATAGCATCTTTTACTGTTTTCTAACTTTATGTTGCCAGTATCTAGAAATATAATTAATTTTTATATATTGACCTTGTATCTAACAACTTTGTAATCTTAATGATTGATTTTTAAGAATGTGGTTTTTTTGGATTAATCACATATGCACTTATAACTATGAATAATGACAGTTGTTTCATCCTTTCCAGCCTTTATACCTTTTAGATCTTTTACTTGTTTTACTGCATTAACTTTGACCTCCAATAGAGTGTTGAGTAAATGTCATAAGAATTTATCCTTATGTGATTCCTAATTCGGGGGAAAGTTTTCAACATTTTTACTCATAAGTGTGATGTTTGTTGTGTATTTTATATAAGCATTCATTATAATAACAGTGTTCCCTTATAGTCTTACTTTGCTAAGGCTTTATTATGAATATATCTTGAATTTCATCAGATGTTCTTTAAAAATAACTTTGAGATGAACATAGTTTTTATCATTTTATGCTAGTTTATTTTCAATTTCTTTATTTTCTGGGCTTATCTTTATTTACTCCACTTGGCTTTCTTTGAATTTAATTTGGTGCTGTTTTTCTAAATTCTTGGAATGCATTTGTAACTTCAGACTTTTCCTCTAGTATATGCAATTAAAGCTACAGATTTTTAAGAAAGTTTTGAGGTATCACATTTTCACTATTGTTCACTTCAAAATACTTTAAAATTTATTTTGTAATTCCTCCTGAGATCTTTCTTCTTCTTCTTCTCCTTCTCCTTCTCCTTCTTTTTTTTTTTTTTTTTCTTTTTTGAGATAGAGTCTTGCTCTGTTGCCCAGGCTGGAGCGTAGTGCAATCACAGCTCACTGTAGCCTCAAACTCCTAGGCTCAAGTGATTTCCTGCTTTGGCCTGCCAAAGCAGTGAGATAACAGGCATGAGCTACCATGCCTGGCCAAAAGTGATTTCTGAACTTCCAAACATATAGAGGATATAGAGGATTTTCCTTTTTTGTTGTTGTTGTTGTTGTTGTTGTTTTTGGTTCTTGATACCAACTTTATTGTGCTGTTGTAAGGTAACATACTGTCTTTGGTTTCAGCCCTTTGAACATTATCGAGACTTTCTGTTACCAGTAAATAATCAACATTAAATGTTCTGTGTGATCTTGAAAAGAATGTGTGATTGCAAATTTATTGGGTACTATGTTGTATGTATGTTACTTTTCTTGATGTAAATAAAAATATGGTCTTGTTATTTCTTTTTTTTTTCTTTCTCTTTTCTTCTTCTTTTTTTTTTTTTAGAGTCTCACTCTGTCACCCAGGCTGGGGTGCAGTGGTGCGGTCTTGCCTCACTACAACCTCTGCCTCCCAGGTACAAGTGATTCTCCTGCCTCAGCCTCCCAAGTAGCTGGGATTACAGGCATGTGCCACTACACTCGGCTGATTTTTGTAGTTTTAGTAGAGATGGGGTTTTGCCATGTTGGCCAGGGTGGTCTCGAACTCCCGACCTCAAGTGATCCACCTGCCTTAGTCTCCCAAAATGCTAGGATTACAGGCATGAGCCACCAGGCCTGGGCTGGCCTTGTTATTACCGGGACCTCTCACCTTTATTCTGGTGAATAAAGGTCTTCCCCCATTGTCTCTTACCCATTCCTGTTTAATTTGGATTCTTTGTCCTGCAATTTCTCCTCAAGGTGGAGGTTTGTCCTGGAAGAGTTTCAAAATTTCAATTAGTTTTAAGAATTCTAAAAGATATGACTATAGCTTATCTTCCCAATGCTTCTCAATTTTTGTAGCAGGAATAAGATGTGGAGAATATATTTTACTTTCATTAACCCGAAGAGCACGCCAGCAGAGACTGAGAATTCATGTTTATGAAATCAGAAAAGGTAGTTCTTTGCGGATGTTATTTTTTTTTTTTGACTTTGGCAGTGATTAGTTGGCTTAGATATAGAAAAGGGCCTATTTTCAAGTTTTAAAATGGTGTATTGAAATTGATGATTCATATTCTCTTGAGAAGCAGTGGAGACTAGCCCATTTTGCATCGGATATATCAAATGATTACTGTATTTCTAGTTTTAAAGAATTGAACATTACTCAATGAACTGAAATCTGTTCTCCCCCTTGTTTCAGATCAAAGACTAAATGAAGATTTTAGGCGGTATCAAATGGAAAATTTTTCTAAATATTCATCTGTACAGGTATGTAAATTATAAATTCTACTTGGGAATATTCTCATGTGAAGTTGCCTACAGCACTTTGAAACTTGGCTTACAACTTTGACTCCTGTAATGGGAAAGCTTGTTTTTGCTTAATGAAAGTAAATCTTTTGTCAATAGAAATTGCCCTTTTCCCCCAACCAGAGTTGGAGCTTATATATTATATATGATATATAAAATGTCTGAGTTCTAAAATGAGAATTCATTCAAATTTTGAAACATCCTAAAATTGTTTCTCAATATACATCTAGTTCTGTGTTTTAATTCTGTGCCTTCTCATAAATTATGACAGAAGCATAAACTAATGCAAATTGTAAATAATATATGGTTTTTTGAAAATGTCTTTTTTCTTTGGTTGTCATATCTTCTTATTTAAATATTGTGTTTAAAAAATTCTTTAGCCAGAAAGGTATAATTATTGGTGGACTTTGCATTACAGAATATTTAAAGGAAGGTAATGACTCATAGGTTAGTGGTGACTCTCTATAGAAGCAAATAGGAGTGTTTTGCTTTTACATAAATGCATTTTATAATTAGAACTTAATTTGGTTTGGATCTGTGTCCCCGCCCAAATCTCATATGGAATTGTAACCTCAAGTGTTGGAGGAGGGGGCCTGGTGGAAGGTGATTGGATCATGGGTGCAAATTTCCCCCTTTCCCTTCTCATGATAGTGAGTGAGTTCTCATGAGATCTGGTGGTCTTAAGTGTGTAACATCTCCCCATTCTCTCTCTTCCTCTTGCTCTGGCCATGTAAGACATTCCTGCTTCCCCTTCATCTTCCACCGTGATTGAACATTTCCTGAGGCTTCCCCAGCCATGCTTCCTGTACAGCCTCTGTTGGGGAAACCAGCCCCACACCACCTGGCGGGTACCCTGAGTTCAGCGGAGACAAAGGAGTTAGAAAGAGTCAGAATAAGCATTTAAAAGGTGGGTTCAGGGGACCGGAACATTGGAGGCTTGCTCATGGCCCAGAGCTCTTCTCCGCCTAATTTATTGGTTTACAAGATCTTTGTTCTTAGGGCAGATGGGAGGGGTAGGAAGCGATGAGGAAAAGGATTAATCAATGAAGGAGTACTCGTGAGTCATTCAATAAGATATATAGCAGTGGCAGGTTTCTGTGAATTTCCTTGAGCAAAGGTGTGTGTCTAAACTACTTAAGATCTTTAACTTATAGGGATTGAAACAAGTGGGAGTGGGTCTCAGGAGGAGCCAAGATGTTTGATTATACTCCACTGCTTCAAGGGAGTGTTATCTCCCTGAGCAACCTGTGGAATGCCGCTGAGCTATTATGCTCTCAGGACATAAAGATATGAAGGCAATAAGGAGACTCTTCTCCTCAGAGACTCCCCATGGCTCCCCATAGGTGTCTCATACAAGGGAGACCAACTCATCTGGCACCGCAGAACCATGAGCCAACTAAATCTTTTTTCTTTATAAATTACCCAGTCTCAGATGTTTATAGTATTGTGAGATTGGATTGATATAGAAAATTTGTACCAGTGAATGGACATTGGTATAAAGATACCTGAAAATGTGGAAGCGACTTTGGAACTGCATAATGGGCAGAGGTTGGAACAGTTTGGAGGGCCCAGAAGAAGACAGGAAGATGAAGGAAAGCTTGGAATTTCCAAGAGACTTGTTGAATGGTTGTGACCCAAATGCTCATAGTGATATGTATAGTAATGTCTAGGCTGAGGAGGTCTTAGATGGAGAAGAGGAACTTACTGGGAACTAGGGTAAAGGTCACTCTTGCCATATTGTAGAAAGAGACTGGCAGCTTTGTGCCCCTGCTCTAGGGATCTGTGGAACTTTAAAACACATATGTGTTTGCAAAGAGATGGTCTGAAACTGGAACTTATATTTAAAAGGGAAGTAGAGCATAATAGTTTGGAAAGTTTACAGCCTAACCATGTGATAGAAAAGAAAAACTCAGTTTCTGGGGAGAAATTGAAGCTGGCTGTAGAAATTTGCAAAAGTATAATAAAATATTAAAAAATAAAAATAAAAAAGAGGAGCTGAATGCCTAAGACAATGAGGAAGATGCCTCAAAGCATTTTGGGGCCATTCACCACAGCCCCTACCATCGCAGGCCTGCAGCCATTAGAGGGAAGAATGGTTTTGTGGGGCAGGCCCAGGGCCCCACTGCCCTGCAGAGCCTCAGGACATTGCTCCCTGTGTCCCAGCTGCTTCAGCTCCAGCTGTGGCTAAAAGGGTCCCAGATAACATCTCAGTCAACTGCTCCAGAGGGTGGAACCCATAAGTCTTGGCAGCTTCCACATGGTATTAAGCCTGTGGGTCGCAGAGGACAAGAGTTGAGGCCTGGAAGCTTCTGCCTGGATTTCAGAGGATATATGGAAATGCCTATATAGATGTCCACACAGAAGTCTGCTGCAGGGGTACAGCCCTCATGGAGAACCTCTGCTAGGGCAGTGCAGAGAGGAAATGTAGGGCTGGAGCCCCCACACAGAATCCACACACTGGACACTGACTAGTGGGGCTGTGAGAAGGGAGCTACCATCCTCCAGACCAAAGAATGGTAGGTCCACCAACTTGCACTATATGCCTGGAAAAGCCTTAGGCACTCAATGCCAGACTGTGAAAGCAGCTGCAGGGAAAGTACCCCTGCAGGGCAACAGGGGCAGAGCTGCCCAAGGCTGTGGGAGCCGACCCCTTACATCAGTGTTGCCTAGATGTGAGACATGGAGTCAAAGGAAATTATTTTGGGCCCCTAAGATTTAATGGCTGCCCTTCTGGGTTTTGGACATGCCCTAGGGCCTGTAGACCCTGTCTTTTGATCACTGTCTCCCTTTTGGAAAGGGAGTATTTACCCAATTCTATACCTTCGTTGTATCTTGGAAGTAACTAACTTGTTTTTTATTTTACAGGGTCATAGGCAGAAAGGTCTTGCCTTGTCTCAGATGAGACTTTGGACTGTGGACTTTTGAGTTAGTGCTGAAATGAGTTAAGACTTGGGGCACTGTTGAGAAGGGATATGAGATTTGGGAAGGGCCGAAGGTGGAGCGATACACTTTGGATTTGTGTCCCCGCCCAAATCTCATGTCAAATTGTAATCTCCAGTGTTGGAGGAGAGCCCTGGTGGGAGGTGATTGGATCATGGGGGTGAATTTTCTCCTTGCTGTTCTCGTGATAGTGAGTGAGATCTCATGAAATCTGCTTGTTTATAAATGGGTAGTACCTCCCCCTTCTCTCTTCCTCCTGCTCCAGTCATGTAAGACGTGCCTGCTTTCCCTTCACCTTCTGCGTTCTGAAAGTTTCCTGAGGTCTCTCTAGCCAGGCTTCCTGTACAGCTTGTGGAACAATTAGCCGATTAAGCCTCTTTTTGTAAATCACCTAGTCTTATGTATTTCCTTATAGCACTACAAGAATGGACTAATGCAGAACTAAAATTGTTTTCAAGGTATTAAAAGTGAAGATCTTGTTTTTAGTATGAAAAAGGAATAGTTTATTTGGTTGGCTTGAATACTTATTCTTATAGATTTTTTTAATGTATATTCAATATTTAGCTGACTGCTCTATGCTTTTATTTCCAAAGACCAGATTCAGTCCACAGAGTCTTGAAGCTATCCATTCACTATTTACTGTTATAACCATATTATTTTTATTATAATGTATAATTTTTATGCATGCTTAATAATTGTAATAATTTAAGTGATAGAAAATCTTTCATATTCCAACAGCTATTAAATTTTGTTCAGAATCTTAAGATTTTTGCTTCTGTTTAGTGTCTTGTGGAATAGGCCTGAACAAAAGAGTAAAAAAAAAAATTTATTTTAAAACCGCAGATGACTCTGGGCATGGTAGTGCATCGTATCTGTGGAAAGCTATGGTTGACTTGATTATGAAAGATGGTTTTAACAGATAGCATAATGGTGATTCTAGCCTTTCAGATGCACCTGCATTATGCATTGTGATTATACTAATTAAAGCTCAAGAGTAGCAGACCTAGTAGAGACAAATCTTCCTTTACAAGAGTGTCCTCTTTGGAAGAATTATAACTGCTTTACTTTTCTGAAGCTAACCATTCTTCTCTTATGTGTGCTATTCTTGTTGTTTTGCAACCAAATCTTGTTCCCTATCTCTTTAGTGGTAACATACTCTTACTGCATAGGAGTCCTCTGCCATCCTCCATATCTTCAGAACATGTTGCTGTTTCCAGACTCCCATCCCCATGGACCTTGCTTTTCACTGCATGTTTTGCAATAATAAGAGAGGAGATGATATGACAGCATGAGAAGGAGATTAATCTGCTTTCTAGGAATAATGCCCATATCCTTGACCATATGTAGTACATCCCTAGAGGGTTCTTTACTTCAGATATATTACTTCAGTTTCTGAAAAAATGTTCAAGAGAATTTTTGTTTTTAGTTTGTTTTCTGTATGTTTTATAGTAAAGGAAGAAGTAGAAGGAAACCATTATCAATGGGTATGTGGGATCCAGGAGTGCTAGCTCATGTATCTTATCGCTGTAACTTAGTTGTTGCTGCTAGCAACAGAAATCCTTTATAAATTTGTGTTTCTCCTTTTTGTTTAGCCATGTTTTCCAGATACCTAGAACAGTTTGGTCAGTAGGCATTTGATAAATTTTTGTTGAGTGAATGAAACAACTATGTTCTTCCTCTTTTTCCTTCCCTCCTACCCACTTATCTTCCAACATGATTTCAACTCTCTGTGTCAAATATAGTGAAAGTCATGGAGATATGAAAAGTCATGGTCAACTTGTGAAATACAAGTAGTACTTACTTTTTAGTTTTATTTTTCAAGATAAAGTCCTAAAGTCCTTACAGTGGGTGTCATAAAATTGCCAGGAGTTGTGTTAAAGGAACATACTTTATTGAGTCTTTTTATGACACTGGAAAAACAAAGCAACAGGAGTTTGATATTTATTTCTTGTATTTTAAGCTGGAACTTGAAACTTGATTTTCTATATAAACTTTGTTAGGTATAATGGTGAAAATTATTT